GAAGCTTTGGGTTGTTTAGTTTGGTTTTTTTTAATCATGCTGTTTATTTTTCTTATGAGCAGGCTATCTTCCTGCAGACAGTGGTTTTGGACCAGAGCAGCACGTGAAAATTCTGTATTACACATTTCCTGGATTAATTTAGATGTGTTGGTATACTGCACTGTGCCTCAAACCTCTGTAACAAATTATTATCAAACGTTTAGATTATATCATGTTTTGAGAATATACTGAGCAAAAAGGGTTATTTATGAAAAGGATATTACATAGTCCGTGCTGTGCTATAAAAAAAAGGGGCAGTACATTTCAACCCAGTCTGCAGACACTGCATAGCTAACTTACACATAACTTACCTAGTGGGTGAGGACAGCCAAATCTGACGGTTTGGTGTCTGCTTATTGATTACGTATGTTCCCATGTCTCCACCTAATTTAACTGTTAGAACTCCACTCTTAAAACACAAAATAATACAGATATTAAAACTTTGCCTCCTGTTACTTGACAAGAATGACATAAGCTGCAGGAGATAAAAGAGAAACTTGCATTTCTGTATCACCTTCCCACTATTTCCCTAACAGTAACAACTTGGAACAATGATCATCAGGTTCAAAAACTTGTGTTAATACCTAGGACAATCTGCATACCTTTGAGTCTGGTCTAGACTTTAGACCTTCTGGTCAGAGTTCAATTTAGTGTATTTGCACCATTCACAATGGCACTGCTTAAATAATACTCTTGAGCTTTTGACTTGTCATCTTGGAAGGCCTGCTAGTTCATTCTGCAAAGATTAAAACATTATCTAGTAATAACTTTTTCTATTCCTGAACAATCCAAAAGTGGTGTGGTTCAAAATCAAGCTTTGTGTGTCATTGCTAGATTCCTGAGCCATGCAATTCTACCAACTTTTCCTAAGTAACTGTAACAGTTTCCCAGTGAATAAACACAATTCTTTCTCCAACAATTTTGATGAAGTGCCTAGATCCTGAATCATACCTCAAAAATGTTCCACTTCAAAACTCCATGAGGTCCAGTTTGTTTTAGTTATGCCAGCTTTAGACCATTATACTAGCAAGCACTTGTTTTCTCTTTTTTACTCGCATTTCTTACTAACAACATGATTCATGTTTCTCTGACATTTTCACAAGTGCATTTGAAAAGCATACGTTAACTCTGACAAAAATATTTATGTCCTAACTTTAAAAGAACAACCTTACTTAGACGAAAGTACAACCTTCAGATGATCCAAATTATGCTAATTAAAAATTACAGTTTGATGATTCAGGTAACAGGTTAGTCATATTTTATCTACAGTTTCTCAAATACTTCATGCCCTACAGCATTCCCTTTAAGGGAATCACACTTTTCATGCTTTAGTCAGAAGAGCCACTATCATTGCTAGGGCTATTTGCTATGTATAAGCATTTATTGTGGGGAAAAAAACTTTCATTTATGAATACCTACTGCCTGCAAACTTAATCTGTAGCACAGGCAGCAGCTTTTAAGAACTTAAATTGCAAGATGCTTTTACTGTATTTTGTATAATGTGTTTTGTACTACTGGATGAATGTTTGTTAGCTCCTGGTAACAAGAATATTTGAAGAAAGGTATTTTTTCTCCTGGACATGACAACCTTTAAAGGTCCCTTCCAGCCCAAGCCATGACCTATAATCTATGATTCTATATAAACTGTACAAATAAAACAAGTTCGTAACAAGTTAAGGGCATAACAGAACTTTATCACGTTCGCCACCTGGTGGCGTGCTACAGCACTAGCCTTTGATTGGAATTGAAACTTGGTACTCTTCAACCTTTCACTCTTTTCTTTCACCTTTCAGAAACAACCACATATTATTATGCCATCATACAGTTTATGCAACAAAGGCGTTCTGGTAAAAATTAAGATGGATGTAAAAATAATTTCTTTTGAGCCTTGCAGAGAGTCAATGTCAAACATTCCACTCTACAGCAGCTAGAGGTAAAATTCTGGTATCTCACCTTCCCGTAATGAAGTGTTTAAGAATATTAAAGTGGTAAATCATAATCTTTTTGCTAATTTTTGTCCTAAGATCTTTAAATCAGGCTAATAGGTGCTAATATGCTAAAACATACCAAATAGTAATGGTTAAACGACATTTTGCTCTTCACCAGGAAAGCAATTAGCTGTAACATTACTTAATTAAAGCAACAAGTAGTATTTACTAAGGGCAACAACAGAATCCTACTAACAGTGTTATTTCGTTGTTTTCTATCATCTTAGCTATAAGAAATAAGGAATGAACATTTAGTTGACAAAGTTATGCAGGAACAAGTCTGAAAACTACAGGGGTCTGTCTGGGGCATGTTTTTGTGGTTTTGTTTTGGTGGTGTTTTTGTTGTTTGGGGTTTTTTGTGTTTGTGCGGATTTTTGGGTTTGTTGGTTTTGGTTTGGTTTGGTTTGGTTTTGTTCTCTTGGGGTTTTTTTTACAGTGCAACCCAGACCCCCTCTTCAAGGTCCCTGAGCATAAAACCTTAACCGACAGGGCTAGTGGAAAGCAACCTCCTAGTGGTAACACATGAAGACGGAGGAGAAGTTATGTGACCTAAAAAAAATGCAGCAGTGAAAGACCTGTGTTGCAGATAGCGGTGTAGGGAGGAACTGCACTCTCTTCCAAGTCACGTAGACACAAACCACTTCAGGGCTTATATATAAAGCTAGTAACTTCCATACACAAATCGACTGCACATTTTTTAATCTATCACTCCTCTAAAAGAATTTGACTAGCCAGTCTATTAAGACTCCAGTTACCAGGCTGGCAGCTGCCCAATGTCTCCCGTGCCAGTAGCTTTCTCTGTTCTCATTTTTGCAACTTTCCAAACATTTCATCTTCTTGTTGCTTCTCTCCACCACAGGTTGGTATACATAAAGCCAGGATAAATGTTCTGTACCTGGTCAAGACAAATGTACTTCTCGATACTCAGGGCAACCAAAGAAACTGCTGTACCAGTTACATATCATGTACATGTACTAAGCCATGTAGGCCTGTCCTATGGGAGTATTTACCAAGAGGGAAGTGACTGCTGATATCCAACGTCTATGCATGCTTAGAAAAATTTATATATCAGTTGCTGTCTCCTCTTGTGCTCATTTTTTTTCTACATTATGCCTTTCTCTATACACTGAACATTTTAAATCCTCAAATCATACAGCAGCATGTGTTACTTTTCACCAGAACAGTTGCTCCAGTCGCTATAAACAGGCATATTTTTACAATAAAGCTGTAAAAACTCATTGTATTCTAAGTGTTGGCACAAAGGTGACCAATTTAAAATTCTCTTTCAAAGAAAAAAAAAAATCTACAGTAATTACATTGGTAATAGAATGCTTAAAACATACCCCTAAAGAGACATCATAATCTTCTGGGGTAAAAGGCTTATCTGTCAGGTCCTCAAAGAAATCTGCTAAGGAGTCCAGTGTCTCTTCAGCCAGTTTTTCGTAAGTGGTCTCATCCAAAAAGCTACAAATGACATACAAGTCCATAATTAGGAGAAATCTGTAGAACACATATTATCCCTATAATAAAAACATACCAAGACCTTGGAGAAAACAGTAACCATGAAATGAGCATATAAAACACGTAGAAGTTTTGGTTTTAGGTAATGTAGGTAACTATCCACCTTACAAATGGAGGTGGAATTTTGAAATTTTGGTAGTAGAGATCTCTTAACTGAGGAGTATGTACTTTTTTCCTCAGATATACTGACCTCTGTTTACTACGAGGACAGAGTTAGATTTCAAAACCAGGCATTTTCATAAAAGGACTTTGTGCAAGAATTACTTAGTTTTGAACTTTATGAAGAGACAAGCACCTCCTGTTCAGAAGCGTATGTCACTTGACTGTAAGAAACTTGCTGTAGCTATAAGCAGGTTAGAAACATCATTACCACATGGCATGTCCACATATGGCATTTGACTTCTCAACTTGAATTACCAACACAGCCTGGTAATTAGATGTTATTTAAAGTGTGCTTATGAACTAATACATACAATTACCTTCTTCTTCAGAGAGTCTTAAAGCACCTTTGTAGCCATTACGTAAGGCTTACAGCACTTGTGAGCCTGCTTCTGTTATCCTCTTTAAATAAGTAGAAAAAGTTAGTGGGAACAAAGTCTAGGTTAGTTTAATTAGCCAAATGTAATTAAATCACATTCGTTTTCCACCTGTATCAGTGTCAACTTTTAATAGAGCGTATACGTGGGTATCTCTAGCAGCAGACAATTCAACAAAATCATTTAAGTTTTGCTAATGGGTACAGCAATATGACAGTTACTGTGGACTATAGTGACTCAACACCTTTCAGTTGGTAATACAGATTTTTTTTTTTTTTTTTTTTTTTTTTTAAGTTCCTTGCTAGTCAGTCACTGAAACGTACTCTATGCCACTTATGTGAGGGACACCACAGAAAAACCTAGGGGCATGGAGGATGGTAAGCCTTAGGATTAGGCAGGATTCACATACTGGTTCAGGGTGCAGCTCAGGTACTTAATCGTAAGAACCATTTTAGACACCTGCAGAATCCTTCATTGGGCCTCCAACAGCTGCATCAAAAGGGGAAAAATCTCTGACAGGTGCTGTGCCACATCCTCTCAGTACAAGCAGAAATTTCATGTATTCTGTCATATGCGAAATGGTGCTAGACACCTATGTTTAGGTACATTAAATATTTCTTAAGTTAACCTTCCAAATTCACACAAAACACTTTTTGCTAAAATTGTTCTTTTCCTTTACATCATCACATCAACATTACATTAGCTGATACCCTTACCATGTCTATAGACTATTAAAAACATGCAGAGACAGCACTGTCATATGAGTATCTCAAAATAAAATTTACCCTCTGTCATTCAGAGTTCCCACACTTCTTAAATTCATGAACTCAACAGTCTTGCTCTTCACCTCTGAAGAATATTGTAAATGCTGTTGAAAGTAAGGGTAAATAAAATGGAATTAAAAATTAAACCACAAAGAATTATAAATTACGTATTTATCACATAAATTAAGTAAATTCTTGAATGCTTTTCCATCCTCCCCAAGTTTTTGGGGAGCTTTAGTCTTTGGATAATTGAGGCAATCTAGAATATCCTTGTTTTCTGATACAAACTAATGATAAAAGGAAAAAAAAAGGATCCTCTTTATAGAATAGTGAATTAGGAAAGAGAAGAACTGTTTTCTTTCCTATTGCTCTACTACAGAATTACTGAGCAACTTGAGACAACTAGCTTAGGCCAAGATTTTCACAAATACCCACTACTCAGATGCTTCATTATCAAAAACTTGTGTCTCTCTGTTAGGAGTCATGAATGTTTTCAACTGAAGTAAACAGAAGCCCTGAATCCTCCTTACTTACACAAGAGCTAATATCACATATCACATTCCAAAACTCTTCTGTAAAAAAAAAAAAAAAAGGCAGTTTAATTCCTAATTTATCTTCTGTTTAAAAATGAACAAACAAAAAGCTTTTTTTTAAAAAAAAAAAGTACAGAAAATCTTTATCAACACACTGGCAATATAAGGCAAGGGAGCAAAATAGACAATCCCTTTGAGGGGAAGTAATACATCAACTAGGATAAAAATACAGCTGGTCTAACACACTAGCAGAAGCACTTATGCTGTCCACCAAGATAGACAGATAGCATGTTTGCCATCTTCTTAGCCTGGGCTACGAAGGTATATATTTTTGGATGAACAGGAAGATAGCATCCTTGATTGCTTTTTGTGTACTTGCACAAGGCTTCCAAAACTAGCAGAGTGAGCTGAAAAGAAAGTGACATTTAAAAAGGAACTACAACTGGCCCTCTTCAAGCACACCTGACAGCCAAACACAAAACCAGCTCTCTCCATATGGTTTGATGTCTATCCTCATGCTTCACAGAGGAACTGTCTGGTAGTCCAAAGCCACAACACGGTCATAAAGGACAGTGAACACCAAACTCTCACCATCACAATGACATATATTGACAAAAGACACACTGATGCCCACATATTTTTGGCTGTATCCTTTATCATTTTCTTAATACACACTTTGGATCAAAAGCTAAACAACCATAAATATATCCAGGTTCTGGCCAGACTGAGAGGCTGTAACTCCCTTAGTGTGCTCATGCTCAGTTTATGACTTGAGGCTGCCAACACAGTGGTAGCATACAGTTGCTATCACCCCTTCATGTGCCAAACCCAGTGCTAAGGGTGGCCAGCACACACTGTCTGCAATGGGAAAAGAGTAACAAACAAGTAAATAGCTCTGGATCACAGCAAAGACTGGGTTCAGTTTGTTGGCAACATGGACAGTGGGACTGAGTGCAAGCTCTCCAGGTTTGCTGATGACACCAAGCTGTGTGGCGCAGTCAACACACTGGAGGGAAGGGATGGGATCCAGAGGGACCTTGACACGCTTGTGAGGTGGGCCGATGCCAACCTCATGAAGTTTAACCAAGCCAAGCGCGAGGTCCTACACCTGGGTCGGCACAACCCCAGGCACAGCTACAGGTTGGGCAGAGAAGTGATTCAGAGCAGCCCTGCGGAGAAGGACTTGGGGGTGTTGGTTGATGAGAAGCTGAACATGAGCCAGTTTCAGTGTGCGCTTGCAGCCCAGAAACCAACTGTATCCTGGGCTGCATCAAAAGGAGTGTGACCAGCAGGTCAAAGGAGGTGATCCTGCCCCCCTACTCTGCTCTTGTGAGACCCCACTTGGA